CAACATGTTTGCATTAAAATAAAGTGCGCCGTTTGCATCCCTGTATATAACGAGATTTGGGCCATTTGGGCTGTATCTTTTTTTATGGGCACGAGCGATGCTCAATTTGAATCACTCTTTTTTTTTTTTTGTCGATTCTGTTCAAAGACTTCATCAAACAAGTTGGCAGATCTGTCTAAATCTGTTCGCGAATCAGTTAGAATGATCTGTTCAGTTTTCTGCACGCACTGAATCATTTAAGCGCTTTCAATTCACACTTGACACGGAGTTAAACAGGAAGATTTAAGAGCATCAAGAGCGTTGGATGAAGTGGCCATGGACCTACAGTACAGTCTAGTGAAAGCAAATCGGCAAATCTATCATATTGTTTGCCAGCGATGAAGATCTTTATTAGTTGAACATCTTCGTATGCTGTCTGTGAATGAATGATTCCACAGGACGATACATTCGATTTCATTTCATTCAGGTAATACATTCTACAACCAAACAGATTATTACGCCACGATAGCACGATAGCACAATCCATCTGCTGTCAAGACGCTGATCTTGACCATGGTGTTGACAAGAGACAGGAATATGATTGCAGACATCACGAACAATGTTTCCATGTGCAGTTTGTTAACGTTAGACGTCGATCGTCTTTTTGTCTGGTACTAATAAAGTTCACTAGCTAAACACTAAGTTATCATTAGCTAGTTCATGCTTACAGCTGTTAGCTAACAATGACTGTACCTAACGTTAGTTGTTCGCTGGATCGACCAGCTTACATGCATCTTTCACTGTATTTTACTGAACTCAGCACAGAGCCGACCAACCCCGTGACGTCACCAGTTATAATACTGCACAATGGTGGCGCCCTTGCCGCTCGAAAGATATAACGGTGTTTCTTTTTTTCTTTTATATGTTAACATTTGTCATGTTTCTTATATAATTTTTAATTATAGTGGTAATCCATCTTATAAATTATGTAAACTTGACTGACTGCTTCATTTCCCCTTTAAGCTCCATTTGCAAAATTGTCTTGCCAAGTTGGCCTCTTTTCCCAGCCATGACCGCGTCCATGTTCTCCTCTTTCGCTTCCTCTTTTTTTCAGTCAACATAAAAACCACAATTCCCAAATTGCGATTGGTCTTGCTCTATTTGTTCACCACTAGCAGATGCTGATGCGTCGTAGCCTGCGGTTCAATATAGGTGTCATCATCATACAGTCAACAAACATGTCCTACCCAAGTTAAAGCTGCCGTCGGCAACATTATTTTGATCATATTCAGTGAAATCGACACTATAATCTGACAGAAGAACATAAATAAAGTGGTTTTAGAAAAAAACCCGAGCTTCTAACTCCACCTGGAGCGTGTTATCTGTTTTGCAAAAATCCACAGCTCCCGGATCATCGGGTCCAATCAGCGCAGGGGTGTGTGAGATCTGACTGTCAATCACAGATCGGGCACACACCACCCCTCGCGCACGTTACAACCACATACACACGCCTGAAGTTCGCGCAGTAACGAAGAGTGATGGCGGAACACTAACAAATCAAGTAAGCTCATTTAGAGTATAAATGATGTTAGCAATTGCAATCTATCGGTAGATTAGCCAGGGCAGCATACCTCCAAATACTCCATGATGCTGATGAGACGGGCACGTTCACAGATAACCTGGTGCACACACACTCGAGCACGAACTCGGTGGGAGGGTATCGTTGATAGTGGGGGAGGGGCATGAGAGTTGTAAACATTCAAAATTTTGCCTAAGTCCACTCAATCTGCCAGACTTGCTGACTGCAGCTTTAATTAGACCATGTCGTACTGTGTGATTTGTAATGATCTTATAGACCTTATGTAGCCACGCCCCTTTCCAGCGCTGAGCTCATTGTCTTTTGACTTCCGGTCTGTATTTTCACAGCGATCTTGCGTAGTTACGAATGAACGGCTCGGTAAAGGTCCCAAGGTCCATTTGTTCAGACATATGCTTTACAATGCTTATCATAAACATTACAATGCTCATGATAACTTTCGTTAACTCTACAACAAGTTAATCAACTTCACCAGCTAATTACTCCTGGACAGCGATGCCATAGAAATATACAGAGCGACCGCAAAAACGGAAGTTCAAAGACAATATTCTAAAGATGGCGCCGGCGGCGCCCTCGTTTCTCTGGTGTATAAGGTCTATAGAATTGCCGAAATCGCACAGTCTGTAGCAGGCATTAAAGGGTCAGTTCACCCAAAAATGAAAATGATGTCATTAATGACTCACCCTCATGTCGCTCCAAGCCCGTCAGACCTCCGTTCATCTTCAGAACACAGTTTAAGATATTTTAGATTTAGTCCGAGAGCTTTCTGTCCCTCCATTGTAAATGTGTGTACGGTATACTGTCCTTGTCCAGAAAGGAAATAAAGACATCATCAAAGTAGTCCATGTGACATCAGTGGGTTAGTTAGAATGTTTTGAAGCATCAAAAATACATTTTGGTCCAAAAATAACAAAAACTAGGACTTTATTCAGCATTGTATTGTGTTCCGGTTCTGTTGTGGATCCGCGTTCAGTGACGCCGCTGACGTAAGACGCTGCTGACGTGTGTCTGGTGTGTGTGTGTGTGTGCGTGTGTGTGTGTGTGTGTGTATTCTGGTTCTGTTGTGGATCCGCGTTCAGTGCCGCCGCTGACGTAAGACGCTGCTGACGTGTGTCTGGTGTGTGTGTGTGTGTGTGTGTGTGTGTGTGTATTCTGGTTCTGTTGTGGATCCGCGTTCAGTGCCGCCGCTGACGTAAGACGCTGCTGACGTGTGTCTGGTGTGTGTGTGTGTGTGTGTATTCTGGTTCTGTTGTGGATCCGCGTTCAGTGCCGCTGCTGACGTAAGACGCTGCTGACGTGTGTCTGGTGTGTGTGTGTGTGTGTGTGTGTGTATTCTGGTTCTGTTGTGGATCCGCGTTCAGTGCCGCTGCTGACGTAAGACGCTGCTGACGTGTGTCTGGTGTGTGTGTGTGTGTATTCTGGTTCTGTTGTGGATCCGCGTTCAGTGCCGCCGCTGACGTAAGACGCTGCTGACGTGTGTCTGGTGTGTGTGTGTGTGTGTGTGTATTCTGGTTCTGTTGTGGATCCGCGTTCAGTGCCGCTGCTGACGTAAGACGCTGCTGACGTGTGTCTGGTGTGTGTGTGTGTGTGTGTATTCTGGTTCTGTTGTGGATCCGCGTTCAGTGCCGCCGCTGACGTAAGACGCTGCTGACGTGTGTCTGGTGCGCCCGAGCTTCGGTTACAGTCTGAGGGAGACGCACACTGGAAACAAAACAATCTTCGCAAACATGTCTAAGGATTTCGACCTGCATTTTTTTGCCCAGTCATATTTATTTGAACCCGAATACACGGGCGCACCAGAGACACGTCAGCAGCGTCTTAAGTCATCAGTGTCACTGAACGCGGATCCACAACAGAACCGGAATACACAAACACACACACCAGACACACGTCAGCAGCGTCTTACGTCAGCGGCGGCACTGAACGCGGATCCAAAACAGAACCGGAAGACAACACAATGCTGAATAAAGTCCTAGTTTTTGTTATTTTTGGACCAAAATGTATTTTCGATGCTTCAAAACATTCTAACTAACCCACTGATGTCACATGGACTACTTTGATGATGTCTTTATTTCCTTTCTGGACAAGGACAGTATACCGTACATACATTTTCAAATGAGGGACAGAAAGCTCTCGGACTAAATCTAAAATATCTTAAACTGTGTTCCGAAGATGAACGGAGGTCTTACGGGCTTGGAGCGACATGAGGGTGAGTCATTAATGACATCATTTTCATTTTTGGGTGAACTGACCCTTTAAGGAGTTATAATCTGTATGAATGACTTTTTTTCACTGCAAACTTGCACTCTCATACTATGAACCGCAGGTCCATTTCTCTGGCTAAGAGGTGGTGTTCTCACTCCGAGTGGATTCGTTTGGACACTGCGCCCTTCTCCTCTCTGAACCGTGATGCCGGGGTTCTGCTAGGACTAGGACTTGCACAGTATTGGAAGCCAGGTGGATGGGCTCTTCCATGGGTACCCAGGACTCTCTGTCTGGCCCTCTCGTCCATGGCCCTCCACTACATCAGCAGCTTCCCTTTGCCCACTGTTCCTCCTTTTCTCTTCTACTCCCTGTTCTTTCTGAAATACACCATTGTGCCGCAGGTGGTCATGGTGTTAGTGCCAGGATTTGTGCACCTCCTCACAGCCAAACCCAAGAGGGAGTAAAGGTGAATGTCGCAGATTTGTTTAGTGTTTGAACCAAATTTGACACAAATCATCTAGAAGATCAATCATTAATGGAGTTCTATTTCAATACAAGCAGACAATGCAGTTGCTTGCAGCTTTAAAGATTGTTTTGCAAAAAGAAAAGAAAAAAAAAGACATTGAATATGGATTGCTGCAGTTCATAAACATTTAGTTTGTGCCAAAGAAGCTCTAAGGTGAAATTGTTACAATTGTTAAAAAGTTCAATTGTTTTCTCCATTTATTTTTTTATGCTTTCAAGTTATTTGAATGGTCTAAATCAATCTATATTCTGTTTCTCCAAAGTGATGAAGAAAACTAGATATTTACATTTTCTTTAGTATTTGCTTAGTTTGATTCTAAATTGTTCTAGGTGGTTGCTAGGGTGTTGCTAAGGTGTTTAGAATGTTCCAAATCTCTGGTCCCTAGATATGGCTGGAGGATTTAATTTAGTTTTAGTGTCTGCCAGGGGAAAATCTAAAGTCTGATCACTTAGAAATGTAACACTCCATTCTGAACAAGCTGCATGATTTGAGCTATCATATGTGTCAGTTTAATATGTGGCCGTTTGTCAAATATGAGCAATAATAGTCTGAAAGGAGAAAAAATGCAGTTGTGTAACAGCTGTAGGCCTATATAAAAGAAACCACAATAAAAGGAATCATCTTTTAAGCTCGACCAGTTTTATACATTTCTTATAAAGTAACTCTTAGACCGTATAAAAATGACCACTGACATGATAAAAACACATTCTGGTTTATTGAAGTCATTAAACGTTGTCACAGCGCTCTGAAAGCTCACATTTACAGACGAGAAACTCTGCTTAGCAAGCAAATACATTAAAATCAACTCAAATCCAACTGAAAAATCAAAAGAATGGCCAAAACCTTTAGAGGTAAATGTCAGATTTGTTGTGATCATTTTTTCTGTTTAGTTCCACTATTGGAGACATACGGCAGATTCTCGAATGTCTGTGTATGTCGATTTCGGAGGGGAATGGAGGATAAATCATGCGTCAGGTTATGTACAGCAAAAAAAAAAACTTGCACTGAAAAACCACAACACTCTAAAGAGGCCCTTGATGAGCCCGCAGTATTTATTTCACTTTTTTTCCCAAAGTTGACCATGAGGCATCTCTCGATTCAAGCAGGTTTACACTGACAGCAATAGAAAGGTGAATATGGTTGCCTTTAAGACAAGCTGTCTAGATATCTGTTCATATACTGTATTTTTGAGAAGACCAAAGCCACATTTAAGCTCTGCATGTTGATAATATTGCATTCTGAAGCAGAGAATTTCAAAAGGAACTAGCTGAATATTTTTTTTTATACACGACAAATACACTATTTCAAAACGGCTGGTTTGCATTTCGGTAGTGTGTGATGCCACTGAACTGTGTTTGACACGTGAGGCTCATCAAGTCCTTCTCGCGCTGCATTTGGCGGAGGAGAGCAGGATTTTGTATGCATGAACACATTTGGCCACTATATACAGCAAGTACACTGCGCTCTATAAAGGCTGTTATATACACATTTTATATCTTTTTAAAAACATAATTTTGCTCTTTTATATTATTGTTCATTCATTTGCTTGAAAAATTAGAATTGCACCAAGGACAATGACTTCTATTTGTTTTCTAGTAGTACAACTAATCACAGGTTATTTTCCAGTGTTCACTGAACGTTCGTTAGTAAGGATGTCCTATCCCAGATCAAAAAAAAAAAAACATCTTTAGCCCCCCAATATTCACATGATTCCATACAATCCTTACGAATGAATAAAGTGCTCTCTTTCTTCAAAATGTCCAGACAGTCAGTGCAGACCAAAGTTACGAATAAAAGTTTAAAAGTTAAAACAAACATACTTCACTTGATATACTGATGCTTCTCTGTGACAATGCAATATTTCATTTCTTAGAACAATAAAGAAATTGAAAACAAAGAGAAGAAATTGTATTACTACCTTGCAAACGCCCCTGAAACTTTGTGTTGCGTAGTATACATACTGTAGTAGAGTTCATAAGACGTCTATGGTGTGATACATTCTTCTACTTGAAATACGGCAGGATTGCCACTCCAGTACATGGTAATTTACTGAAATCATTTAATTTAAATAGACAAAAGCTATATGAGGGTTACTTGAAAATCTTATTAAGCTTATTCCCAAGAAATTGATTAAACTAATATTATTGCCACAGTACAACTGTGAATTTTGATAAACAATATTTCTGCTTGGGAACCAGAATTTTAAGGTAATAACTGTAAAGATAATAACCTCCAGTCATAAACTCTGAATCATTATTTTAAAAATATCTGATACCATTTCCAAAAGCTCAAATCAATAGTTACAAAATTAAAGACATAAAACCCAACCAAAAATGAAAAAATAAACTTGACACAAAAACTGCTTTAATATTTCTATACATCATATAACTTAATTATAAATATTCCTCTTTTCCTTCTGTAACTACAGCTTAGTTTTTCTGAAACATTTTTTTTCCTTTTTACAGTATTGAACAATCCAACAATATGATGTCCAGAATGCCTAGCAAATTTGTTTAGTTTCATTGGGAAGAGAGAGAGAGAGAGAGAGAGAGAGTAAGTGAGAGAGAGAATGAGTTCAACACAGATTCCCAGTTTTATATCCGCTTTAGTGCTAGGAACGATGGCAAGACACTATTTCTCTGCATGTAGGCCTCTGTTGTGGAACGTCATTAAATGTGCTTTCTTATAATGTGCAGAGCTTTATAGAACATTTTTTTACCTTTACATACTGTATTTTAATACTCCAAAAGGGTGCTGTCAGGATATTTGGAGCCTGTTCACCACATAAATTCTAAAAGTTTTTTTTTCCCAACAGAAGTAGGCACAGGTATTTGTACACACCTTTGTAACACTGTTTTTTTTTTAGTTTATTAAAAGTATGTCTAATATTCAGTTTCCCTTTAATTGAAATACTGGTTTTAATATCCTGCACCTACACAGTCCCATACGTACAACCTGACACAAACATTCACTGTCACACACACCTTTGTGCCCACCCTTTTGGGTGCCTATTAAACGTTTGACTCCACATAGGGTCTCTTTGGTTTGATGGGCGAGGTGGGACCTTGTCTGGCATCACGGGAAAGCTGGCGGTACATGTTCTCCTGGTACGCCTGTGCCACAGGCATTGTCCGGGCCACTTTAACATCCTGGTAAGTTGGCACCTGGCTCACCCGCTCTAGGAGGTCTCGATCACGGGCCCCTCCATTAGCAAGCTTGCCTAGGGAGGAGGGCTGCGGCTGGATGTAGTACTCCTCCTCTAGCAAGTGTCCATTCTGGGCATTATTGGTCTTATTGTAGTAGGCAATATTGCCTAGAGATGTAGGTGGGCTGTAGGAAGAGGCGGTGGAGGCTTGGTGGATCAAGTTGCCAGGCGACGTGGGGCTAGTGATGACCGATTCCAGGGATGAAACGGGCCAGGCCCGGGAAGGCTGGAGAAGGTACTGCTGCTGAGTCCTTGCAGTCTTGTCGATGACGCCCATAAACGGAGTGGCCCGGGATCGGGCGGGTTCACCCGAGTAGAGTCCGCTCTGAGAGGGTGAGAGGGCGGATGGTTCGTCGAAGCTTCGCTCATATGTGGTCTGCAACGGGATTTCCATTTGGGCCATGGAGGAGGAAGGCCTGAAGCCAGGGGCTAGATTGCAGCTGGAGCCTGAGGAGATATTACTGCTGGATGGGGAGAAGCGAAGATTTACGCTCTGGGAGTGGATCAGTGGTCTGGGGGTCGGTACGTGCTGCTTTAGGTCACTTGTATTGGCACTGATGGGTCTGCGCACTAGGTGGGGGATCTCCGGAGAGCCCAGTTGGCAAGGTGACAGAGCAGAGGCGGCCACTGCTCTCTCAAGTTCATGCTTGGAGACAGGATAGTATGCCGCTGACTGACTGCGGCTAATCTGGGGGGTTTGACTGAAACGCATGCCTCCAGGTCCTCCTGTAGTTGAACGGTAGGCTGAAGCAGGACGTTGAGGGAGATCCTCTTTCCCCAGGTTTGACTCCAGAACCCCGGCAGGCCCACCTCGGCTCCCGTGCTGACAGAGAGCTCCCACACTAAGGCTGGATTGCACTTGAGACATTGACCGACCATCCAACGAGGGCTGGTACACAAGTCTTGGCTCCCGGTCTCTCTCCCTGTCCACATCCATGGAACATCCCTGATACCTGCTGCTGAGTGGATGCGCCAACTGGCTGTACACACTGTTACTGGGCTGGTTAGTGCGGACGATCTGTGCCATCGAGGGCTGCAGGCGAAGACCTTGGATCTGGTGGTGCTGGCTGGTCTGAGAGCTCTGGGAAGGCTGCGACTGGAGCTGGAAGGATCGCTGGCTGCTCATCTTCAACAGTGGCGATTTAGGGCGGCTAGGTAAAGGCTCCTGTTGGTAGCGGACTGGAGAGCCAGACTGGGAACGATACAGACACACACTCTCGACTGGAGGGCTTGCTCTGAATGGACCCCCACGCCGAAGAGGAGATGGTGGAGGACTCTGGTACTCCATGCTCTGGTTCCCTCCACCGCCCATGGGTGGAGGGCTGAACCGGTAGGAGGACTGATGTGCGGGCGAAGTATGGGGTGGACTCTGGCGGTAGTGAGAATTCTGATGTGTTGGGGAGATACACGGGGAGGTGGACTGGTAACTATGATGGGTTGGAGATGACATGGAGGAGGAGCTCGGGTGAAACTCAAAGGCCTGCCCTCCAGATAGGTAGCCAGTGTCATGATGGGTCGGAGAAAGGGGTGGACTACGTATAATGGCAAGGCTTGAAGCATTCGAGTGAATATCAGAGGCAAGACCAATTGACACAGCTTCTAGCTCTTGTTCAAAGAAGTCGTCATCCTCAAACAAGTCTTGAACAGGTTCCATGTCATCCAGTCTTGGCTCAGGAGGAGGGGTGTGATGAGGGGGCTCCTCATCTTCCTCCACTGGTAAGGGAGATGGTGGTGGAGATGGAGGAGGCTCAAGCTCTGGCTCCTCTGATTGGGTAACTTGCCTGTACTCTTCGTCCACGCGCTGAAGGAGGCGCTGGATTTCACGATTGTTGGGACACAACTTTATGGCTTCCCTTAGGTCTTCTAGTGCTTCAGCGAATTGCCTATGGAGTGGCAATGGAAATATTAAGTCATCTATAAGTAATTTAATGTGAAAGGAAAGAAAGTAATGACCCCTACCTGCTGCTACGCTTGGCACGGGCTCTAGCATAGTATGCCTCATAAGACTTAGGTTTCAGTTCCAGAGCCTTGGTAGCAAACTCTTCCGCCATACCAAAGTCCTGTGACCAAGAAAGTGTGTTCAGTGAAATATATTTTTATTTTTGTATTCTGGGGGTTGATATTTCATTATTTTGCACAGTTGTCCTAGAGGTATATCACCAAGGTTCTTATGACATGCTGCATATTGCAGTTACAATATTGCAGCATCACAAACATATATCCAAAACCTTACTGTGTGCACTAATAATCGTAATGAGACTTTGGAAAGAGTATTTTTAGTAACGTTCATGCTGTTCTCACATTCATTTTCCTCCGACAGCGAGACAAGTTCAGGAACAAAGACACTTTGAGCTCTTTAAAGGTCTTCAGGTCCTCACTTAATCCTTCACGGGGAAATTTCTTCAGAGCACACTGGTAGCGCTGAGCTGCCTCCTTCACTTTACCCTTCTGCAAGAGAAAAGATGATTGACTGTGTAAATACATAGAGCCAAGGTCTTTGTTCTAGACAAATCTGTGCAAACATTAGAGGTAAATGAGGAGTATATCCGACCTTGTAGAAGCCATCTCCTTCCTCTAAAAGTTTACTCAGTAGGATAATCATGATGTCAGGTTTAGACGTCGCCATTGCCCAGGTAGCAGGACCTATGGGGTAACAGGATGTTTGATGGGTCAAAATGGACAATCAAAGGTTTGAGGGGAAAACATGGAGAGAGACGAGGAGTGCAGAACACTCAGGAATCATAACAAACAGATGAAGGCATGGACAACAGGATGAGGATGCCTCCAGGGTGAACTCAACTTCTCATTCCCTGTATCCTTTCATCTTTAACCATTAGCAATGATGCTATTGTTTAATACAGGATTTCCCAAACTCTTTGTCATGCTTCAGATTGTTGCCGATACAATGCAAGTAAATGGGGACCAAAACATTGGACCCTACTGAAAAAAAAATTCATAAAAAAAACCCAATCATTTTTTGGTAGAATCATCCCTTTAAATGATCTAAAGAAATGCCCCATGAAATTAGTTAATCTTTACATAATAGCTCACATACATTTCAAACTAATTTAATACATTATCATAAGATTCTATTTTCATAGTTTGGGAAACCCAGGTGAGGTAGGTATATAGAGAAATATACAAAGAGACAGACAATAGATGGACAGACAGTCAGAAGATAGATACAGCACCCAAACACACCACTGGACACAGAACATAGAGAAGAGAGCTGCCAGGATGCCTGAAGGGAAGCAAGATGCAAGAAGCCTGAGCACAAGCATTACCTCCTTTGCGGCGACTCGGCAGTGTCTGACATCCTGTGGCCGGAGGTCAGGGGTTGTGAGAGCGAGGAAATAAGGATTAGGGTTGTGGGGAGAGTGAGATGAGGTGAGGTGAGCAGCACAACCAGAGGTGGTTATGAGAGTGGAGTGTGTGTAGGTGAGTGAATGTGAGAGTGGGAGAAAGAAGAAGTGAAGAGAGATGGCGGTGGTTGTGGAAGAAAAGTGAGGGGGAACACAAAAAAGCAGCCGTGAGTGGTGGGGAATAAGAGCTTCAGCTAAAGAATAGAAAATTAAAAGTTAAACAACAAAACGGCACCAGCACCAACAACGTTAAACTCAACGTTAAATCTCTCACCAACCATTGAGTTGACAAACAGAAAGATTTTCTCAGCAAGAGAAACAGGTAGAGAGTGAAAACAAAATGCAAACACCACACACAAAAAGGGTCACGGTTCCAGAGAGAGATGCGTTAACCAAGAGCAGCTGGAGTAAGTGAAGTAAAGCACAGAGCAGCAGAATGCTAAAGCAGGCAAGCACAAGCTGAGCTAAAGGAAAAAACATACAAATACATGTTGGTTTTTTAGTTTCATGGTCCGGACTCTAGTGATAAGCCGCTTTCCTTTAGGGGACCACTTGAGGGTCTGGGACTTCTGGTTTTACTATGCTTGTGGGGACATTTGATTTCCTCAATGTTGGCAAAGTCTGAGCCACATACACTAGGTATGTTTATATGCACATATTTTCATCAATTTGAATGAATCCAATCCATTTTCAGATTCTGAAAGTTCTGTTCATATGAAGCCTAAACTTATTCAATTCACATATTCATTTACGGTGCATTCGGAGCCTTCACTGACCAGTTTGTAAGATGTAAAATGCATGTAAATATACGCATCACGGCACTGCGCATGTGTGCAAATAACTTATAAATCCAATTGAGAAAATGTTCGGATTCAAGCGTTTACATGCTTACCTTATTTCCAATCCGTTCGAAATGAAATTTAGTTGAGCTCAACTGGATCGATTTTTCAATCTGCTTGAACCACCAATCCCACTACTAACAGATTATTTGGTTGCATGTAAACGTAGCTATTGTCGTACCGATTTTGGCTCCTTTTTTCAGCAGGGCGACCACCACCGACGTGTTTCTGCAGCCGACTGCCCTGTCCAGAGGACGCATTCCACTGTAATCCACATGCTCTATCAAAGCCCCGTGATCCACCAGGAACTGCACCTGAGACAGAAAAAGAGCACGAAAAGAAAAGAGACTCATCTACTGGAAACACCGTATCATAATAGGTCAAAAAACAGCCAAAAGGGCGATGCCAGGTTTGGAGGATCTTCTCTGAATGCTTTGGGTGGAATTACTTTTAACTTTTCACAGCAAGTCTATGAGGTTTTGGGAATTTTTTTATAATTCACTAAGGGAAAACCATAAGTCCAATTAGTTATAATAGTACAGAGATTTGGTAACCAGAGTCAAGAATTTAAAAGAATTAGGATTTTGAAAAATCTTAACCCAAAATTGTCAAGCCAACTGAAATATCACTCACCACATCTGAGTCTCCATAGAAGGCGGCCAGATCGAGAGGCGTCCGTCCGTTTTTATCAGCATGGTCCGTCGCGGCACCCCTTTCCACCAAGCAACGAACCACAGACAGGTGTCCTTTCAAACATGCCCAGCTGAGCGCAGTGAGACCCTCCTTATCCATAAGATCCATAGACGCACCTACAAATACACAAAAGACATGAGGTACAGTATATTTGATGCAAGTTTCATAAAACTGCCCCTTTGTGTCATAAAGGTGTATAGCATGTACCCTGAGCCATTAGGAACTCCGCTGTGTCCAGGTGCCCTTCTGAGGCGGCCATCATGAGCGGAGTACGGCCTTGTTTATCAGCCAGGTTTACGTCTGCTCCGTGCAACACCAACAGATCCACAATCTGAAAGACAAACATGTAGACAAATCTTAAATGGACAAAGCTGGAAAAAGTATCTTTATAAGTGAAAATGACATGTGAAGTATGGTAACATTTTGTCCAGTGCATTATTTAACCCATCCAAGTTAGTGAGTAGTGAGTAGTGCACACTCACACTGCAAACAGTGGACGCACACACACACACACACACCCGGAGCAGCGGGCAGCCATTTTGCTGTGATGCCCAGGGAAAATCATATCAATTACCTGCCAGTGCCCTTGACGCACAGAGCTGAAGAGTGGCACCACCCCTCTCCGATTGGGCTGTGCCACAGCAGAGCCCTGCTCCAACAGCAGCCGACAGACATCCAGCTTTCCTCGCCCTGCTGCTGCTGACAGTGCTGAGGAGAAGAGCAGGACAGAGCTGTCAATCAGCAGCTACCTGTCTAGACAGGCAAGTCACTTTTATTTATAGAGCTTTATACAACACAGAGTGTTTCAAAGCAGCTTTACAGTGATACTAGGAAAATGATGCATTTCGGCTGCTGTTCAGTGTTGATTCGGTTCCGTTGAAAAGATCATCTCAATTATTAAATGAGTTCATTTCATCTATAAAGCAGTTTTGCAAAAAATGTCATGGTCCAGCTCAGCTCATACAACAGTCAGGGACAGTCAGACAGCCTTTTAAAGCTCAAACAGAGCACATTATTGGCATTCTTCACACAGAAAGCAAAGCCAAATGGCAATGCGATTGCAAGAGAAGCAATTCAACATGCCTCACAAGGATTGCAGTACAAAGAAAGGGAAGGAGGTTTCATACAAGATTTTTCATCAAGTTTACACAGTCATGTCACTTGTGGTTTAGCGCTTTAAAGTTTATCTTTAAAGTTAATTTCCACCAATCAGAGAATCAATCTTACTCACTACTCTCTCAAACTACTTATATATATATATATATATATATATATATATATATATATATATATATATATATATATATATATATATATGCATATTTTGCAATAAATATAAAAAGTTTCTATATACACTAGGGATGCACCGAATCCAGATTTGTGGGGTTCGGCCGAATACCGAATCCACTGGTTAAGATTCTGCCGAATCCGAAACCGAATACCGAATCCTATCATCCTCAGTCCATTAACACAGTAAACACATTAATGAAGTTAACAAAGTGGATTTTTCATTTTATTTTATTATTGTAAATAATAAACACTACTTTTACTTTTATAACTGTAAAAAAAAAAAAAAAAAAGAATAAGCAACATTATGCATTTTAACAGCGGCGATGTTGTGTAGCCTATTGTTTAGAGTCCTTTGCCACCATGAGACAAATCGGCATTGCAAATTGAACATGTAGCTCGACTTGAATTGCCTTCTTTTCACTGAAAGTACTGCCAAACAACACTTTTTCTGCTCACGAGTTCCATTTTCACTTTCTCACCTACTGTACCTACTGTAACGAGTGGAAATAAGGTGTGGCCCCTTTAAGAACTGCGCGCTCCCTGTTGAACTGTCTGCAGTCCGTATTGTATGTGCCGTGCGCCTCGAACACATGCCCATGTATGCGGGTTATTTCTGTTTGATGCTCATTTTTAAAAGTACCGCAGAGCAATTCAAAAGCATGGAGCCGTCTGCTCTCTATTCGTTCACACGGTAGTTTGATGTCATTCACTGATCGGTGACGTAGCGCGCGTAGTGCAAGCCTAGGGTTCGGTTCGGTGGAAAAAAATTCTGAGGTTCGGCAGAAACCGAACCCTGTTAAAAAGCCCAATATTCGGCCGAATCCGAATCCGAATTCTGGATTCGGTGCATCCCTAATATACACAATCAATCAATATCTTTAAATTAATAGATTTAATTAATTTTATGTTGGTTTTTAATGCTTTTCACAATGCTTCATAAGATTGTAGTTTTTTAAACCAATAAAGCTGTTAAGGGATATTTCACCCAAAACCGATTCTTCTGTCATTAATTACTCACCCTCATGTTGTTCCAAACCCGTAAGACTTTCGTTCATCTTCAGAACACAAATGAAGATCTTTTTGATGAAATCTGAGAGCTTTCTGTCCCTCATTTGGGTATAGCTACGCAACTACCAGTTTGATGCTTTTAAAAGCTCATAAAGAGATCGTAAAACTAATCCATTTGAATTGAGCGATTTCCGAACTTTTTGAAGCATTAAAGTGGTAGTTATGTGGCCGGTCAATATCTCAAGTTTCATTCAAAATATCTTTAACTGTGTTCTGAAGATGAACGAAAGTCTTGTGGGTTTGGAACGACACGAGTGCGAGTCATTAATGACAGAATTGTCATTTTTGGGTGAACTAACCCTTTAAGTACACAGCCTTTGTCTTTTTTCTGATTTCCTTTTTTTTCTTCTAATCAAAGTTTGTAAAGTTATGATTCTTCCCATAACTGGTTGGTTTGGTTCATGGCTTATATCTCTAAAATAGGGTAAATAAAGACTTTTTAAAACTCTCTATGGCAAAAATGAAAAGGAAAAATACGTCCCGAACCAAAGCTGAAAAAAAAAAAGTGATTGATCTAACAGTGAACAGTGCTCTAAATCAGCTACTTTAGAATCTCATGTCAATAAGGATGCTGCCTATATATTAGTATACAACTATTTAATAAATAGTGTAAGAGTGAAGCTTTACCTGTCTCACCCCACAGGGTATCAAAGGTGTTAATCTGGGCACGTTGAGTGTCCTCCTCATCCCTCTCGGGCAAGTCCAAGAGATAAGATACAATCTTAAAGACATAGACACAATTAGTAGCTATATGAGCAAGAAGCATGCTGGGAATAGTGAGCCACCAGCAGGGCCTTACCTCAGTGTAACCCATGCTCGCTGCTGCTATAAGGGCCTGCTGTACTGCGAGGCTCTTGTTGAAGGACACAGGCTGTGGCGATGTCTGTTGCTCAGCCTGAGCGTCTGCTTGTGTCTCTTGTCCCGACTCTTCTGGAGTCTGGTCCTGCTCCTCTGCCTTCTGCTCGGACTCCTGTGGCGTCTGCACTGAATCCTCCTGTTGCTCAGGGCTGGACGGCTGTGATTCCAGAGGCGTGGCCTGAGTAGGAGAGGGCGTGGCTTCTGGTGGTGTGGGGGAGGGCGTGGCCTGTGTTGGGGAGGGCGTGTCCTGTGACTGTGTAGGGGACGGGGTCTGGAGGTGTGTATGGCCCCAGTCGCTCTGAATGAGGAACTTCACCACCTCCAGGTGTCCCCTAAGAGCGGCGTGCACTAGAGCACACTGACCGTGCTTGTCCGAGTGGTCGAGCTATGGAGAGGACAAACACACACACAAATATTACTCGGCAAGGTGTGATGCGAACTGAGGACACAAAAGCCAAAATAATAGCTCATATCTGATTGACTGGCTTAATGAAATTTCCATGAATCATAGATGGATTTTTTATTAGTCCTACAGGTTGAAAAAGAGCGTTTACAGAGTTCTGTGGCACTAAAATGGAGAGGAACATCTAGTCCAGTCTCAGTGAGGGCATTGAGATGTTCTAGGGGGGCTTTTGTTTAAAGGGATACTTCAGGATTTAGCATTAAGCTTTGTTTTAGTAGAAAACCTGTAGTATTTTCGAATTACCGTGCTTTCCACCCTCATATCCCCCTGAGACGAGAGATTTGTGTATTTTTTGTCTGGAAAAAATCCTCCGATGACGCAAAAATCGTCATTTTGCGTCATTGGAGGATTTTTTGGCCAGAGGCTAAAGACTGCAGCCAGTAGTAGGGGCTGTCCCGCATGCTCTCAACCCGCCCATAGAGGGTGGATCTCACTCACAGAATGTACACATAGTGTCAGCCATCTTTTTTGGAGGCTAAGCTAGCAGGCTCTTGTTCTGTGGAGAAAGCTGAGTAGTAGGGGTTACCATCCTCTTTTTCCCGGACATGTCCAGCCGTCGAGATCGTACAAAATGTCCTGGATTCAGCTTATGCTTTCTGCAGTCGCCATTCATTGTTTACATGCACACCTTTTGTTTCAATCTAACTGAATTCATTCCGAATGGTGAATCTGAATGTAGTGTTTACATGAACGCTAAACAAGTGATCGGTTGATGTGCGTTTTAACATTGCTAAGAAAATTCCCGCTCCTCCGTGAGAGATACGAGACCGGTGCGTCTCACAGGTGTCGCTCATCGGTAATCACGCCACCGGCCTCGCGCCGTTCTCCCGCGGCCCTCGCTCATCCTGCTCGCCACAGTAAACATGATGAAGGACGACTGTAGAACGCAAAAGCCCAATCCCGGACATTTTGGGCGATCTCGAAATCCCGGGCAGACTCATCACGGAGACTCACTAGTAGCCTAGACTTGTTGTTTAACTACCGGGCTCTGTTACCGGTAGGCGTGGCCTCCTAGAGCAGCGAAGCAAGTGCATTCTGGGAGTTGTTGTCTTTCATCCACATCAGCCAAAAATACATTTTCTGGGTTTTCTCAGTCAAAAAAGCTCCAAATTCAAAAATAATTTCACATTTCTTCTACATAAATGACCCATTTTAAATGCACATTCATCTTTCCAGAGGTGAAGTGCCCCTTTAAGGTGAGTTTACACTAAAGATTCACAACGAGATGAGCTAAAACTTGTAGCTTACTTGGAAAAATAATATGGTTTGCAACATTCTAACACCGTCAGTGCATCTGAAATCTATATAGTATATGGGTAGTATGAATGTTATCTGGATGTACTACATCCGCCATGTTGTTACTGTCACGTAACCTACCAGCGTCAGTTGCGTCGCTTCACTGTCATTCACAAATCCTCTCCCGTGGCCTCATGGGATAGTAAAGTGTCCATTTAAGTAGTAGGTCATGATGGTACTTTTTTTTTACCAACTCTTTTTTTTTTCCAAATACAATGTATTTCGACACTGTGTTGGCGTACTGTTTTTCACATACAATATAGTAGGGAAGTATTCAATTTCAGATGCAGTGTATAGACTGGATGCAAACTTTCCAAATCCAGTGTCCTTCTGTCAGAAGTAGCACAAGTGCATCAGAAACAGAACAGGCCATCCGTTTACTTGTGTGTGCTCTGTCGCTCATGTCTGGTGTTGACAGGCTGTAAAACCTTCCAGTTCGCAACAAAGCGATTAGTTGAAACGGTGTATCGTTTCCATAGCGATGACTCATTACTTCAGTGTTTCCATCCGCTTTCTGTTGTGCAGCTGTCAGACACATCCAAGCACGACATTAAAACAAACCAGACTTTAAAGATAAATCCATCAGTTTTCGGAATAATTAATGAGAATGAGTCTTGTTTGCTGATTGGCTGCTGTTTGTGATAAGCTACTTAATTAAAGTTTGAATGTCAAATTTTTAATTGTCAAATTTTCTGTTGCATTTGCTTAACACTTATAAATATAATTGCTATTCACATGGCTGGCTTATTTGCTCCCTGGGAAACGAATAATATTCCAACCGTCCAGTCTAATAAAATCTGTTACTTGGCATTAATAATAATAATAATAATAATAATAATAATACTTATCATTACTTAATCATATTGGTGTAACTAAAAATGTTCTGCTGATAATATCACATTTTTAAATCTACAGTATATTTAATTAGAAAAGTGCAAAAGAGAAGCATTTTTATAACTGGACTATATGTTTAGTTTTGATTCATTTTTGTGACGCGCTCCACAAACTTCACGGAAAGGAAACCGGGACGGCAGAAAGCAGCATCCGGTATGTTTTCTTTATTTTACAAAAGCACAATATTTAGTTTTTATTGTGAGTGTACACAAATAAAAATACAGTTTTGAATGATGTCTTACTCTTATCTGTATGACCACAAATGATGGAGTATTTTAAGTTGTTTCTGCTGTTATAATGAGACAAGATCATTTGGAATTGTGACCTATTGCACATCACTGCTTAGTGCTTAATACACTACAGGCTGTTCTGTAGCAAATACCTCAGGGGACTAAATGCTGCTAGTTAGAACAGACTGTAATTTGCACAACTGTCTGTTCAAAATAAATAAAAAGAAACCTAGCATTGGGGATTTGTTGCTTTGTCCTGTTGTGACCCCAAATACTGAGGTACATACCGAACAGTGACTTCTGTGTACCGTTAGACCCCTAGTAGCTTGACTAGCTTATAGTAGTGATGTATGTCTCGAGACCACTTTTACGTGGTCTCGGTCTTGTCACGGCCTTGACGGTCTTTGGTCTCGGTCTTGTCTTGGTCTCGGACCTCTCGGTCTTGTCTAGGTCTCGCTGTCTCAGACCGACATAGTGGTCAGGGGATTGAGCAATACAATACTACAATATCCACGACGATATCCGCAACGTATTGAAGCGCGCGTCCGAGTGAAGACAGTGCGGTGCGCGCGAGCCACGCGAGAAAACACTGTATCCGCGCCACTGATCGTAGCGGCAACGAGCACTTTGATCACTTGATTTAAAAAAACACATATCATGTACAGTTTTTGATATATTAATATTTAGTAAAACACATATCAGTGACATGATGGGTTTTACCTTCATTCAGGAGATTTTGGGTAACTGCACAACTGACAGATGACTTTGAGCGCACCGCCAACGGTGTGTGTGTGTGTGTGTGTGTGTGTGTAACCATAGCGACAAAAACGACCAACTTTCGGATCCTGCACTTAAGCCTATAATTTCGTTTTTAAAAATATAATTATGTATTTAAAAGTTGCAGAATGGATTCATTTGGAGACTTCGAAATCAGCAGAGATAGGCAGGCAAATGCAAAACAACATTTGACAAGTTATTGCTTAGCTTCAACACTAATGTTTTTTTTCCCCTCCGGTCTCGACTTGGTCTCGGTCTTAGTCTCGACTTGGTCTTGGTCTCGACTTGGTCTGTCTTGGTCTTGGTCTTGGTCTTGGTCTCGATACCATCTGGTCTTGGTAGTGTCTTGGTCTCGGTTTAGGCGGTCTCGACTACAAGTCTAGCTTATAGTATCAGCAAGTTACAAGGTTTTTAACATTGAGTACTCAATCTTTAGCCTGACTTCGTCATACTCATATTCTAGTCAGAATGTGAGTCTGATACTGCTCCATAGGGCTTTGATTATGAGGCGTGTCCTAACCGAACCAGGAAAAAAAAAAACTCTGCACTCAATTGGATAGACCTACAACCAATCAGAGCAACGCAGTACGTGTTTTTTTTATGAGCTACAAAGTTGTCAACAGAGCTCAACTACACGCACGCTGGAAGAAGTAGTAAAATAATGAGTGTTGCTTCTTTTACTTGGTCCTCCATGAGTGCGACCAAAGGAGAAACCACAACGACCACAGGGTCTTCATCGCGTCCCGTCTTCTTAGCGACCATTGGAGCCGGCTGATAAATTAAACTATTGCCGAATCCCGTAGGAAGGACGGCAAACACATCTTTCCGATCGACAAATGCCTTGATTGCAGTTCTCTGTTCGTCTTTTAAAATGAATGCGCTGTCGATTTCTTTTACAACAGACGCGATAGCGGACTCTACACATCTCAGTTCTCCAGCGGCGGCCATCTCTGAGGGAAACCAGTTCAACCCAAGCGCTCTTTGATAACGTGATGATGACGTAACTGCAGATCATCTGTCCATCATCGTATAAAGCCCGCCCTGGCTATTTGATTGGCCCGACGATTTCTGAACCGATCATAATTACTCCTCAATGGATCGAGTCCAGACCAAACTTCCCGACCAAAAAATGTTCGGGCTGGCATCCAGGCTCCTCAATCTTAGTAACCCAACAGCATTTACTGTGCATAAAGTATAAATTGTCGTAAAAAAGTATGAATCTCATACCTTTGCTTTCCTCTTGCAGAGGGCGGTAACTATCCCCAGGTGTCCAGCGGCGGCCGCGTATCCCAGAGGAGTGAGGCCGCTCTCAGAGGCCGAGTCCACACTGGCACCATATTCCAGCAGCAGGTTCACCATGTCGGCGTAACCCTGGTGAGCGTGCACACACAGCACCGGAGCGTTGTTCAACACCTCCGTACGATAGTTCACATTAGCGCCGCCCAACATCAGCAGCCGTGACACCTAAAGAAAAAATTCAAGTGCCCATATTATGCTCAGTTATAATTAGTTTTGTGAGTTCCAAGAATACATTTAAATGATTTAAAATAAGTTTAAAAAATGGTAACATTTTACAATAATGTCTCATTAGTTAAGATTAGTTAACATGAATCAAGAATGAACAAGACTTCTACAGCATTTATTAATCTAAATTAATGTTAATTTCAACATTTACTAATACATTATTAAAATCTAAAAAATTTTGGTTAACATGCACTGTGAACTATATGAACAAACAATGAACGACTGTATTTTTATGAACTAATATAAACAAAGATTAATAAATACTGTAACAAATGTTTTGTTCATTGTTCATTTATGTTAGTTAATACATTAACTAATGTTAACTAATGAGACCTTATTGTAAAATGTTACCAAAAACACATTATTTTCTACTCATTGCTGTAGCACTTCTTTTCACCCCTAGCTTGAAACGCTCAGTTTTAGTTCCTGTCTCTTGAAAGCCCGCCTTCCCGAAAAGCCAAGTCTGCTCTGATTGGTCAGCTGGCCCAGTCTGTTGTGATTGGTCAAATGCTTAGAGCGTGTGTGAGAATAGAAACGCCACTTTCTACAATCGGGTTTCAGCTCAGGAGGCTTCATGAGCAGCTGTAAGTAATATATCTATGGTAGTCTTGCTCAGCTAGATCTTCAGACTGAAGGCAGAAGACTCTATAGACCCCTTTTTCAGTTGGTAAACATGGTGACGTTTTTTTGTGGGCGGGGCTTAGGTGGAGGCAGAACGATCCCTCTGGCCGCTTCCCTAACGTTAATTTGCAAGTTTTGTTAGCTTGTTTTTTTAACAATGACTGGAGAAAATCCAATTTTATCTTAATGTGTAAGGTCACTCAGTGTCCAGGACTGCGATTGTTATTTGCAAAAGTTAATTTTAACGGACGGAACCAGATTGGCTGACCCGTACTGTACACACTCACTCAATGGATGGACGATCTGACAGGATTAACATTAGCGCTACCTCCGGTTGAGTGGCCTGACTTCTACACCTATCCGATAGAGAAACCGAGCGTTAAGAGAAACTGAGGGCATATAAATCTATAACTACACTACCGTTCAAAAGTTTGGGTCGGTACGATTTTAAATACTTTTAAAAGAATTCTCTTCTGCTAACCATGGCTGCGCTTATTTGATTAAAAATACAACAAAAATCAGTTATAGTATTAAATATTATTCCAGTGTAAATCAGCTGTTTTCTGTGTGAATATATAGTAAAGTGTCATTTATTCCTGTGATCAAAGCTGAATTTTCAGCATCACCAGTGTCAGTGTCTTCAGTGTCAAATGATCCTTCACAAATCAGTATAATATGAGGATTTGATGCTCAAGAAACATTTATTATTATTATCAATGTTGAAACAGTTGTTGGTCTGTCAGTTGTACAGTTTTTTTTTTTTTTATGATTCTTTGATGAATAGGAAGTTCAAAAGAACAGCATTTGTTTGAAATAGAATCTTTTGTAACATTATAAATGTCTTTACTGTCCTTGATAAATAAAAGTTTTCCTCCAAAAAATAAAAATAAAATTCTCACTGACCCCAAACTTTTGAACGGTAGTGTATATATATATTAATATATCTTGGTTATGCAAATGTTAAGTGAACATGTACAAGACTTGTGTGTACGATCCGCAGTTCTGCCGAGCCAGCGCCAAGAAGACGACAATGTAAAGAGTGACATTACGGTGCAATTTTAAATATGTGAATATTTTCTAGACATAAAAATTCCAGAATGATACAGCATATTCATTTTTCATTGATTCTTGCACCCAACAACACAAGAAGATGACATTTAATAATAATAATAATAATTTAAGCTCCTTATTATGTAGCCGAATCTGTGCTGGTTTGTATTGGCCGCCTCCAGTTATCCGTTTGTTTTGCCTCCAGCTAGCGCCGTGACGTCGGCGCAAAAGGGGTCTATAGCAGCTTTCACTGGCAAAGGAACCACCAAGAGGCCATCTGACTGACATGTAAAGCAAACCATCACAGTTTAGTTTTTTCTTCAGCATCATGTTTAGGGGCATGAAAATGTAAAGCCGATGTCCCTACAATAACAGACCGGCGTGTTAAACTCTTGGACCTATTTTAAAGAGTCTATGCTGTGATCTTCACATACTTTTGAAAATCCAGCATTTAGTTGATGCTGACAAGTGCTTGTTGTCAAAGTTGTAAACCTGACGGCTTTCTTCTACTATGAGGGGGTTTGTCGTCACGATGGCTTTGTTTCCAGGCAGACTGGTAAAGAACGCGACACACTGGTCTCACGGAAATCCTGTAGGTTTCAACCAATCAGATGAAGACTACGAAACTCCCAACATTTTTCCAATTTTGTGTGCCTTATGCATCAGACGTTCAGCCAAAGGTCCATGAGCTGAAACTATATTTATGGTAACTGTGGTGTCAGTATTGGAAGTCCACCCAGCGTCTCCTCAACATAGCGAAATCACTTACCCAAACGTTCTTTGAGTAAGCGATCAATGTGCAAATGGTCACGAAAATAATAACTGGACTACAAACGAGGCGTTTCTTTTGGAGAGATTAAATCCTTTTGGACTTTGTAACTTTTCAGATCATTTACAGCTACAGTATATACACACTGACTAAAGGAACGGTCAAACTAAAAAGCATAATAGGTGCCCTTTAAAGTATACAGTAAGTGCATAATGTTGGTTTTAGAGTAAGAAACAAATGTAAAATCTGTAAAGTGGAGCAGTACCTTTATGTTAGGTGTGTAAAGGTTTCTGAGTGATGAAAGCGCTGTAGATAAACTCTCTGTACTGTATGACACCCACAGTCCTTGCAAGATGGATGAAGAAACCCCGACCTTCTTACTCAGGCCCTACAGTGTGATACAATAATGGGACAAAAAGCCTTAATGCATGAAAGCATTAGCTGTAAAATATGAGCATTATAGTGATCTATTATTACATCCTCGCATAACACTCTTACCTTGAATATGTGTGCTTTCAATATATGGTGACCCAGTTCAATTGTCTGCTGTCTATTTAGTTTGTTTTCTTGTCTGGAGAACCAGAAAGCCAGAAGAGTATGGCCATTCCTTCAAAAAAAAACAAAAAAAAACATGTAAGAAACATAAAAAACTTCAAGCTAAAGTTCTCAGAAAGCATCATAATATTCTAATAGATCAACCTTTTCCACTGATATAAAAGTTGTTAGAAGATATACATGTTGCGTCAGATTATCGTTCTCACACTTTGATTTAGGTGAACATCTTAAAGGCCCGGTTTCACAGACAGGGTTTAGATTAAGCCAGGATTAGGACATTTAAGTAGCTTTTATAAACGTTCCTTAGAAAAAGACATTGCTGGTGTGAATATTGAGACAAAACAATGACACTGACATATTTTAAGATCTGCCAGTGCAAGTTGCTTTCCGTTAAAACAGCTCAATAATGGATTTTACTCTATGACTCTTAAGCCTAAAATGTCTTAAACTCAGTTTGATTGAATTTAAGGCCACAGAAAGTCTTAAATGGTATAACGTGTATATTGTTGGCTCTGTAACAAATTGCTTTTGAACCACTTCAAAACCAGCAAACCAGAAGGCTGTTAGGTAAGTTTGTGCATTTATTTTCTTTTACCCGCCAAAGCCAACTTTTACTCGAATCGGTATTTGAAGTAACTTTTGTCAGACCTGGGATCGCAGAGGAACTTGGTCTTCTCTCCCTCCTCCCGCCATATGAGCCATTCTCTAAAGGAAGGGTGTACGAACATGCGCGTCCCATCCCGCCTCTTCACCAGGAACACCGACAGGTTCTCCAGCCTCTGCTGGAAGTCTTCCCAGTCCAGCGTGCCCTTCACAGAGCTGGCGTTGATGGCCTGGTAGATCTGCTCATCGGTCAGCGGGTGCAGGGAAGCCAGGGTCACGTTCAGCAACGGCAGGGCCCTTTCGAAGGACGACTGCGTTGGGAAGCGCATGTTACACTGCAGAAGGTACACTTCGGCTAGACTGACCGGGACCACCTTGTAGTTGGAGCTTTTGAGCACCAGGTAGCCGCGTTCGATCAGGTCAAAGGTGAGCTTCAGGTAGAGAAGAGAGCCCTGGCTGAGGGCCTTGAGGTGGGAACTGAGCTTGCCGAAGCTGGTGTTGTCCATCTTGCCGTTGAGGGAGATGTTGTTCTGGATCTCTGCACTGCTGTGGATGCGGTGGAGGATGTAGCCCTGGAGATCGTGGTCGATGGCGTCGTTCTCCTCCAGGGCGTCCAGAGAGATTTGGTGGAAAGGGAGAGGTTTGGTGATTTCCTGGAAGGTAGAGGTGAGAACTCGGTAACTTTCAAAAATCATGCTTGAATTAGATTTTGTAACTGCTTTTTGGTGTGTTGAGTACAGGCAACATGCACAATGAAATAGTAAATGTTAAGTTTTATTTTTTACTTTACTCTTGAGAAATGTTTCTTGAGCAGCAAATCATCATATTAGAATGATTTCTGAAGGATCATGTGACACTGAAGACTGGAGTAATGATGCTGAAAACTCAGCTTTGATCACAGGAATAAATTACATTTAACAATATATTACAATACAACAGTTATTTTAAACTGTAATAATATTTCACAATATTACAGTTCGACTATATTTTTGATCAAAGTGTATAAGAGTTTCTTTCAAAAACATTACAAAAACTTACTGACCCAAAGATTTTTGAACAGTGGTGTATTTTTTAATATTCTATTTTTAGTCTAGGTATACATATTTTCCCCTACTATATGATATTTAATTATTCAGATACCTAAATTGTATACTGCATGTACAGATGACACACTATATTATTACACGATTGGAAAAATATGCCCTCATAAAGCTGTGAATCAATTCCAGAGGGCAAATATTGTAAAAATGCACCGTTTACCTGCAGCGAGGTCCTGACAGTCACCACCAGTTTGAGCCAGACTGGAAACTTGTTGATGGTCTTACAGAGGAAAGACACAATCGTGTCTCCATAGTCTGGTTTGTGGAACTCAGCCTCATTCAGACCATCAATAAGAATGATGAGGTCTTCGTCTGGAGTGATCTTCCTCTCTGAGAAAAACAACAACATACAAACTTTTACACACATTTTGCATCATTTTACTTTCAAGATACAATTACAAACACAAACTCTTGTGGAATCTGCTCATACGTTTGTTTCAGGGTTATTATAGTTAACTGAAACTAGTATAAAATTAGGTAACACTTTACAATAAGGTTTCATTAATGTATTAACTAACATGAACTAACCATGAGCAATACATTTGATACTCTATTTGTTAATCTTTGTTAACTTACTTAATAATAATTACAGCTGTTAATTGTTTGTTCATAGTTCCCTTGTGAAAATGTATTACTAAGTATACTACAACCCATTAACATATTCCCTGACATATCGCTTGAGACTAACTCATATAATATTATAATTACACTTTATTTGGAGTATTTCTTTATTGCACAATGCACATTTATTGATATTAAGACTAAATGTGTTTTAATATCACTATTAGTAAGGATAGTAAGATCTCTCTATAATATCAGTCTTTAAATGCAATATATTTAAAGTGTACCTAAAGTATACTTGCAATAGTTCCACAATCAAATATACTTAAGTATATCTTTAGTTGGACCTCAGCAATATTTCTGGGAAACTAAAGTACATTAAGTACAAAATTAGTTTCAATTTAGGTAGTAATTTAGTAAATTAGTTGTACAATTGCAGGGTTTATACATTAAGTACATAAATATGTAAATGTATTTGTAGTATACTACATATATATATGTCAAATACATTTAAGTATATTTATTTTTCACTAGGGTTTACAGTGCATTAACTAATGTTAACAAATACAACTTTTGATTATATTAATGTATTGAACAAAATGTCAAAATGAACAAAGATTAATAAATGCTGTAGAAGTGCAGTTCATTATTAGATCATGTTAACTCATGTAAACTAATGAAACCTTATTGTAAAGTGTAACCAAAATGAAATAATTTTTTTGTTGCTTGAAATAACGTAAAAGTGAACTGAAATAAAATAAAATATAAATGTAAACTTGCCAAGGCATCATTTTGGGTTCTCATGCAATGATTTTTCATTCAGTTTAACTTGATCTACTAAAATAACAAACTAAAACTTAAATAAAAATGAATAAGAACTATATAGACCTGACAAAAAGCAGCAAAATTACTAAAACTTTCAAACTAAAATGAAAAAATAAAAACAAATTCAAAATATTAATAAAAACTGAATGTATGCATGAATGTAATGTGCACATGCCTTTATAAAGTGCCTCCAGAGGTTCGAGCACCCCTCGTCTGAAGGCAGTGGGGGGGTCCTGGACGCAGGAGCGCAGACTGAGCATGCTCTGTATGTGTGGCTCTTTCAACAGCAGCTCTCTGTACGCGGCGAGCTGTGGCGAACGACACAGCAGTGCCGCCACGTTGTGCACAAACTCCGGCACCAGGCAGGTGTAAGCGTTATCAGCCTGACAGTAGTGATACGCCACCACCTGCAGGGGGCAGCAAAGACAAGAGCAGGTGAGAGGGGCCGGAGCGCCGATTAAGCTGATCTAGGGACTCTTTGCTATAATTACAAAACAATTATAAAATGTTAATAATGATATCAATGTTTTAGATGATGATGTGGAACAACAGTACTCAAACAATATGCTGCTGCTGTAGTGCATCTTAATTTGTCCCCTGAGAGGAATGAGTGCTGAATTGCAAACTTTTTCTCCCTCGATTTTGGAACGAGGCCCTGACGAGCCTTTTATCAGGAGTTTCAGACAACTGGACGCCCATCTTTGAGACAAGTGCCTATAATTGGTTCCATTAAAGCAGTAATTATTTTAATTATCTGCTTTACTTGATTTGAAAGGCAAAAAACTTGAGGATTACACAGCATCTTCTGAGGTAGAGATAGTAAAAAAAGATTATGCCACCAAAAAGTATATAATCCACATTATTTTCTAAAGTAACACTGTCCAACAATGGCACCAGCAGATACAGATTCACAAGAGGCAGCGTTTCTTTTGAGCTCATTTGCTTTGTGATGATGGGTATCACAAATTTAAGAATCTGTTTAACATCTGCTATGACCTAACCTAACATCCGATGACAGAACTAAGGTGAACTGCATTGAGCAACAAGAGCAACAAGATGATCAGTTTACTGATTAGATGTAATCTTTCCTACTGAGGCTCTGTTTACTCCTGGTATTAGGTACAAGTGGTACAAGAGGTAAAAACGATATAATTACTGTTCGTTTTCTCACACAAACCGCTCGTTTCGTGTCTTAGGCCTTCAATGTGTACTTACATTTACGAGTCATTAAATCATGTTTAATTTGGACTTCTCTGTGCATGCTCTTTGAGGTGGTGACCATAGACCTGCATTATATGACTGACAGACAAGAACGGTTTGACCTAAAAATATCAAAATTGAAACTACTGCGGAAACAAAGACACCTACATCTTGGATGCCCTTGAGGTAAGCTAAAACATACCAGAAATTAATTTCAAAGTGAACTATCCCTTTAAGATACGTTTTGGTTGATCGGATCACAAGTGGACGAGGGAGACACATTCCCATTTACACCTGGTGTTTTAATCCGTCTCTTTTGTCCACTTTTAACCACTTCTGTCCTGATTTCTTCGAGGGGAGGGACTATGGGGGTAAATGTATGTTTTTTTTTTTAGATCTGATGATCTAATGGACAAAATAAGCTCATTCAATTTACATATGAACACGGCTGGAGACGACTGAAAAACACACAGATCAGCTTTAGTTTCTGCACTGACAGCCACAAGACCAGCCGAACGCTGTGAGTGTGTGTTAGAAATCAGGAATGTGAGAAAACATTGAGCTTGGTACATTTTTCACGTCTCCAAACCAAACTTCGGTCTTAAAGGGATACTCCACTTTTTTTGGAAATAGGCTTATTTTACAACTCCCCCAGAGTTAAACTGTTGAGTTTTACTGTTTTTGAATCCATTCAGTCGATCTCCGGTTCTGGCGGTCCCACTTTTAGCATAGCTTAGCATACATCGTTGAAGTGGAAAAGACCATTAGCATTCCTAAAATAATTCTACTCTCATTCCTGCGTAATAATCAAGAAACTTTACTGCCGTACCATGAGTGCAGCAGGCGTAATGATATGACGCAGCGCCTGAAAATAGTTTCGTTGTGTTGACGGAAGGTGGCCTATTTTCAGGCGCTGCGTCATATCATTACGCCTGCTGCACTCATGGACAGTGAGTAAAGTACGGCAGTAAAGTTTCTTGATTATTACGCAGGAATGAGAGTATAGTTCCTAGCCATATCAGCCTAGAAAATCGCAACTTTACATTTTCCGTCGGTCTTAGTGCACGATGTAACTACAGAAGAGTCAAGTTTTAAATAGGAAAAATATCGAAACTCTTTGGTCATTTTTTTTTTTAGAAATGCTAATGGTCTTGTCCACTTCAATGATGTATGCTAAGCTATGCTAAAAGTGGTACCGCCAGAACCGGAGATCGGCTGAATGGATTCAAAAACGGTAAAACTCAACAGTTTAACTCTGGGGGAGTTGTAAAATGAGCCTATTTCCCTAAAAAGTGGAGTATCCCTTTAATGCTGACAAAAATTTAAATCCCGTCTGGCTAGTGCGCTTGCCATAATGTTCACGCATTAGGTCAGTAGGCGGAGAGTAGACGGTCTTTTGTGGCTGTTCGAACGCATTCGACCACATGAGCGTCTACACTATGAAAGCAATCCGGTTGAATGGGTTTTCGACTACCTCTGGAAGTGGTCGAAAGTGGACAAGCTCAAAACGTTTTAAACCCCGTTTACACCTGTATTTAGCGTCGTCCACTTCGATCGATCGTCGTGATCCGATCGATCAAAACGCATCTTAATACCAGGTGTAAACAGGGCCTAAGAGTTCAACTATGTGTGAATATTTAGACGTCTTTAGTTCTCATGACCAGGTGCTGCTTAAACCATTTGAGTTTCAATTATTTTTTAGGGACAAGCATTGCTAAATCTCTGTATTGTCTTTAGATACTTTGGTTAAGTGGTCTCTTCTGAGGCTGTGTGTAAGGTCAACACCTTTAAGGACTGCCTTCTGAATGCCTATAAAATATAATGTATCTGCCTTAGCCAGACTTGATGACTGCAGCGACCAAGCAGCACATTCCCAATAAACAATCCCGCTGATACACCCGAGTCTCCTGGTCTTCGCTTCAACGTTTCTTACAGCAACAATGATCTGTTTTATGGTGTGTTTCACTAGTCTGTTTAGCTAAATACTACATGAAACATGGCATATTGATGGGAAAATTGTATTACAATGATTTTAATTGCAAAACGTTTGCGCTTGCTCGAGAAACTTTGTGATCAATCAAAGAATGCAAAGTTTCGCAAGGGAACGCAAAACAAAGGTGCAAAGCTTTTATGAGTAAATGCAAAGTTTCATGAAGAAACGCAAAGTTTTCAGAGCAAACGCAAAGTTTCTCAAGGGAACACAAAAGCATTGTTTACAAACGTAAAAGTTTTGCGAATAAATGCAAAGTTTTTAGGGGGAATGCAAAAGTTTTGCAAGCAGTATATTATATAATAATAATAATAATAATATTTCCTCCCATCTAATTTTTTTCCCCATCACTATGTCCCTTTAAGGGCTCTATAGTTTACAGAGGTTTTTTTTTCCATCTAAGTCTGAATGGTCAAATCCAAGTATTTTTTCATGTATATAGACATTAATCCAACTCGAATGTAATAGCATGCTAATATAAACATAACACAAATAATATATTATAGAGCAAGAGGTTATTATTAAAAAAGTAGAGCATATTATACTATGGAATTTGCAGATTATATAGGCCTACATGTGCTCTAAAAAATGTTTGCATGCCAATCAGAAATGCTCCGACTGTGAATCATTTCGCACTTTGGGTTGGCTGACAAGTACAGGAGGGCGGGGTTTTGGAAAGAGGGCGTGTCATTGAAGTTCACACAACTGCTGACATCTCTTATAGCACCTTTAAGGATTGTAGAATCTTTCTAGAACATATTTTCCAGACATATTTATTGCACCTGAAATTGGAAGCATCAGTAGAAAAAAGGTATAAATCATCACTGCACTGTATTTTCACTGAGAATAAAGCTACAGTGTTCAAAGGCAATCAGCACAATGTAGTGACACCATCTCAGCTCTGATTTCACCTTCATCTGTCCTGGTGTTCATTATTCAACACTTCTGAAATAAGCGTGAAGCAGACAGAGCAGGAGCCCAGAGCTGCTCATTACTCACCAGAACTTACAGAGAGATGCAGATAATTACTCAGACTAAGCCAGACTAGATGCCTATGGCACTTCTGAGGGCTTGAGAGTTTCATGCTTACTGCATTTGAGTAGCCTGACTTCATCATACTCATATTCTAGTCAGAATGTGAGTCTGATACTGCTCCATAGGGCTTTGATTATGAGGCGTGTCTTAACCGAACCAGGAAGAAAAAAAAACTCTGCACTCAATTGGATAGACCTACAACCAATCAGAGCAACGCAGTAAGTGTTTTTTTTATGAGCTACGCAAAGTTTATTTTTATACGCAACAGAACTCTACACGCACGCTAGAAGAAGTAGTAAAATAATGTGTTGCTTCTTTTACTTGGTCCTCCATGAGTGCGACCAAAGGAGAAACCACAACGACCACAGGGTTTTCATCGCGTCCCGTCTTCTTAGCGACCATCGGAGCCAGCTGATAAAATAAACTTTTGCCGAATCCCGTAGGAAGGACGGCAAACGCATCTTTCCGATCGACAAATGCCTTGATTGCAGTTCTCTGTTCGTCTTTTAAAATGAATGCGCTGTCGATTTCTTTTACAACAGACGCGATAGCGGAATCTCTACATCTCAGTTCTCCAGCTTCATCTCTGAGGGAAACCAGTTCAACCCAAGCGCTCTTTGATAACGTGATGATTACGTAACTGCAGATCATCTGTCCATCATCGTATAAAGCCCGCCCTGGCAATTTGATTGGCCCGACTAATTCTGAACCGATCATAATTACTCCTCAATGGATCGAGTCCAGACCGAACTTCCCGACCCAAAAATGTTGTGGGCGGGGTTCGGGCTGGCATCCAGGCTAGCATTTGAGTATATATATATATATATATAATCATCAGCCAATGTTTTGCAAAAACAGGCAGTTATGACACCAACATTTTAGATATTCACAATTCTCTATTCAAATGTCGATACCACAGCTAAAACTTACAAGACGTAACAGTAGTTTTCAGATAGAAACATTGAGTAATCAAATGTAAAATAACACTGGAAAGTCTTTACTGTATAAATTAAACCGATTAATCCTTATTAATGTTACAAAAGTTCAGTAAAGAGCAGTGAATGATTTTCTTTGTCCTTTGTTGTTTGATTAACATTAAATACACAGACAGCATCAGAAATATTAGGCTGCTGTCACTTTAAGACCTAAAGCATGGATCCAATACACCAATACTGATACACATCTTTCTCTACTGTTTGCGTTCACGGAAGACATAACCGACTATGCTTTACCGCCAGTGTTGTGCCTGAACACACAACTCATATTTTGGGCGAACGTGAACTGAACGTACTGTATTACTGCCTGATGAACGTTACTGTGAACGCGTTCATTCTGGTGTCTGTGAACGCACGCTCTCTCAGTTTAACTTCGTTCAATAGGGTGCCAGATTTCTATAGAGCCTTCCAGGCGAAAACCCGGCTAAAACACACGTAAACAGGCCTTAATATATAGCGAAAAAAACACCCAATCTGGCAACACCAGCCACCAGTGTCGCACCGCGGCCACCGCATGCGTCATCAAGACAAGAAGCAGCATGTAGTCGACCAAGCATCGAGGAGGCGTCGCATCGTATGATCAGTTTTAAGACAAGGTCGGCGAGGATGGGAAAAATCTTACATTTCTGTGCAAACTTTGCCCGCCGATAAAATAATTGCTGTAGTGATTGTATATGGGTTGTGGCAATAATTTAAAAAAAAAATAGCTCGCAGCAACATATGGAAAAAAAGAACTATTTTGAACTACAAGAACAAAATTGTGAAGTCTGAACTATGAACTGAACTAGTTCATTTTAAAATTTGTGAACTGAACTTTGACTAGTTCATGTAGAAAGTGAACTTTCCCAACACTGTTCACCGCCGACACAAGCATTTTTTATTTTATTTTAGTGAATTTGTCCGTTCAAGGGCAAGAAGATGTGAAACAAAGCTCAATTCAGTATTCGCGCGCTGTCTGAGACGCAGCTTTCTGGGCGCGCGCTTCGGATGTTTGCGCACACAAATCTTTCCACACAGCGCGTAATGAACTGAGTTCCCTTTTGTGTCTTCTTGAGCTTAAATATTTAAATGACCAAGACTTACAATCTTATGACAATGTTCTGAGCGTCAATCTCGTTTGTTTACGTTCTATGTTCTCGAGACATTGCGTTGTTAGAATTCATGTGACCGTAGATGACACCGTTTCACATACTCACCAACACCGTTCTTTAACTCGCTTTTGGCGCTTGGCGTGTGTTAATATTAGGCCCTGATATATATGTGTGTGTGTTTGTGTCTGTGAACTTTGATGTGTATAAAAGATCTAAACGTCACATCGATCAAAAGTGACCGTAAAAGATTTTTAGTTCAAAGAAATGCTCCTCTTGAACTTTCTATTCATCTAAGAATCCTGAAAAAAATGTATCAGGGTTTCTACAAAAAGCAGCACAACTGTTTATAACATCGATAATGATAAGAAATGTTTCTTGAGCAGCAAGTTAGCATATTAGAATGATTTCTGAAGGATCATGTGACATGAGAAAACAGTTGTTTTAGGCACCATTTAGAGGATTCAGAACAACTTGGTGATCAAGGTTGGCTAAAACGTAACCCACATGTTTTTACCTCCTAAGGTCTTGCCCATGTTGAAATGAAAATGGAGTCACTCATGCATTCTCACCAAGGCTGCATTTATTTTATATTCAGTATTTGATGTGCACATCTCTGCATGATAATTCAGTTTGATGTGCACTATTGTGGAAAAACCATATATCAGACGCAGAATCATGACAGCCAGAGAGATGATCAACCATATTAGAATACCAATTTACTCATACAAATGTTTTAAAGAACTTAAACCATACAGAAGGGTAGAATGTGAGAGTCGATTATTAATGCATTGACTTAACTAGATCTAGTAGCATGGCAAGGAAATTGCTTTCTGCCTGAATAAATATTTTATGAGGCTCAACGGCAAACTAACTTTTCTTTTTTAAACATATCTGCATAATGCAATAGCTGAGACCATGACAGCAAGCCCACACAGGTTAAGACGGGCCTTTTGTGTGTGAGTCGAAGCAATTCTACCGGTCAACGGGATCTATTGTGAGAAGATTAAAGTGAGAACCCGTGTGTGTGTGTGTGTGTGTGATTGTACCTGTGACGCAAGCCTCCTCATGGCCTCCTCCTGTCTCCTCCTCATTTCTGGAGTTCCAGGGCAACTTCCTCCTCCCAGTGTACCATGGGAAGGCTGCGGTTGTGTGAGAGGGATGCCTTCTCCATCTGAACACACACACGAAAACAATGAATTATATTTAACACGGTTCAATTTACACAGATGAACGTGAATCTGGCAATGTTTTATTACGATAGATGTAGTTGGCATCGCGACAGCTCAGTTAAAGTTAAATTTAATTCTCTATCGTGT